GTACCATACATACATACATACATACATACTCGTAGCTCTCTGACGCTGTTAGGTGGGTAAATTAAGTAGCAACAATGTGGCTTAGCTCATCGCTCATAGCTCACAGTACACTGCACAACTGCCGACGACCAACCACAATTTCACTGTGACACTCACAGAACATATGTATGTACATACCTACCTTCAAGTAGTGTATTCCACCCCCACCTCCACCAGCACCTGAACGTCGCACTAGGAGACGCTTATCATGTTAGCTGACACAATCGTACATTTTTGAAATGTGAATGTACCGTTGAGAGGAGGCTCACCACAAGTGCTGGCACATACATACATACATATGTAGGTATGTACTACATACATATTCATGAGTGTAGAAAAAAAGAAAAAAGAATTTTTGTGATCTCCGGGTGTCAAACGGCCCTCAATGTGACATACTTGGGAAGGCAATCGGGTGATGCTTACAGCACTGTGTTCTGGCATTACGTGTCAGCGCCACTACGCTTAAAGTACGCCGGTGGTGCTGGTGGTGATGGTGGCGGTGGCGTCGGTCATCATTTTGCAATTTCTAAACAAATCACGTTTATTTTTATTTTTTATTTTTTTTAAATTTTTTTCTGCACATTTTTTTTTTTGGTTGCTTCTCACTATTAGTCATGTGTGGGCGGAGAGTGGAAATTTACTTAATGCTAGCGCAAATATAATATTATTGCCAAAGCGAAGAGGACTTAATGGCGTGGAATTGGAGGAATGTTAGGGAAGCTTATAATATTTATGTACATACATATGGATGTATGTATGTATGTAAAGAGCAAACGAGTAAGTAATTCAATTGATTTAGATAGTGGAATTATATTATTACACACACACACATATATATATATATATATATATATATATATATATTAGGTCAAGTAAAAAGTTCGTTCGGTTTTTAACTGGCTTATCTGGCTTTAGATGGCGTTATTGTCCATAGTACTAGAGTTACGTGTCGCATCATGTCATACTACACGGCGCTGAAAACGTGTTTATGGTGTTGTCAGTTTGACAGTTTTTTCGATTGATTGACGCAGTATGTTGTGAGCGCTCGTCAAAGATGGACACCAGCAAAGAGAAAATTCGCTATATTTTACAACTTTCCTTCGATCCAAGCAAAAAAGCAGTCAGAGTGGCTGAAAAAAATTAATTTAGTAAATGGACCCGATACTATAAACGAATGTGTAGCACAAAAGTGGTTTGCTTGGTTCCGTTCCGGTAAATTCGATGTCAAAGATGCACCAAGCGTCGGGAGGCCTGTCGTTGAAAATTGCGTTAAAATCATGGCAATAGTAGAAACAGACCGTCACGTGAGCACTTATTTAATTGCTGAAAACCGTTTGGAACCATTTGCATAACCTTGGATTCAAAAAGAAACCCGCTTTTTGGGTGCCACACGAACTAACGCAAAAGAACATGATGGACCGAATTTCCATCTGCGAATCGCAGCAAAATCGGCCCGTTTCCGAAGCGGATTGTGACTGGCGATGAAAAATGAATTACTTACGACAATATCGAGCGCAAAAGGTCGTAGTTCGGGGAAGCGGCCCAAACGGTGGCCAAGACCAGATTGACGGCCAGGAAGGTTTTGCTGTGTATTTGGTGGGATTTGTAAGAAATTATCTACTAGGAGCTGCACCCCTATGGCCAAACGATCAATTCGGCCTTCTACTGCTAACAAATGGACCGCTTGAAGGTAGCTCTCATCTAGAAGAAAGCATCTTTGATCAACAGAGGCGAAATTGTGTTCCATCAGGACAACGTCAGGCTGCACACGTCTTTTGTGACGCGCCAGAAGCGCGGATGGGAGGTCCTAATGCACCCTCCTTATAGTCCGGACCTGGTACCAAGAGATTACCATCTTTTCCTGTTCATGGCGAACGCGCCTTCGAAAATTGGAGTTCTCAAAGAGTTTCCTAATGAAGCCAACAAATTTTCTTAGTCTCCTGTTTAAGGCCTGGTTAAAAAAAAAAAGTATTTTGAATGCCGCTTCGCTGGCATCTGAGATCGAACCAGATGAAACCAGGTAAGCTTAGAGAAGAAGTGGCGTCTTATCACCACATTAAGCCGACCCCCTCTTGTCAAAAGTGTTTACTAAAGGATCGAGTTAAAACGATTCATACGAAATCTAACCAGTTACGCTTCAGGAATCAGCACTCTACAAGTGAGCAAGCCCATGGGCATCACTGGCAAAATTCGTTTGGCGTTTGAGCAAAAACTAATTTCGGGTAGCTGATTTTTTGGATGCATACCTATATCTCAAGCCTTTGGTCGAGTAACTCAGAAAGGTTCATAATTTTACTTATGACAGCATTGAAGCAGGGGTCCCACCAGGTAGCATACTACTAAGTCCGATTTTTGAAATACCATTATTCCGACTCCACGCAACGCCATAGATGCATCTTCAGAGCTTCAAATGTCGTGATCGTTCGGAGCTCCATGATATTATTGCGCAACGTTGTACGAATGTAAGCTGCTATTTATACGAACTTTCTCATTTCTTCAACCATAACCCACAAAATTAACGGTGACCCTTTTCACCTTTCTGTCCTGTCCCTTGTGGACGTATCTGCAATGACCTCCTGACAGCCAGTAATCACCTTCTTTCTTACACTCTAAACCCGACTCATCTAACGTCCCCCGCCCTATGGTTTGAAACCGTTCGTTTTGAAACTACAAATCTGGATTAACTTTGCTTACCCCTAGCCGCGGTTGAGCAAGCCGCTATAGCAACAACCCACAAGCCTTTAACGTCATGCACAGATTGTAGGTTTCTTTCTTCCTCAACTGTGTTTCATTGAGTAGCATCATCGGAATGCAGCAATCACTTTGTGCAGAAGAAGAGTTCAAGTTGTGCTGTGAGACCCGAGTTGTAAAGACACAAATATAGTCTAGAAATTGTAAAATTGGAATAAAATAGAAATTGAAACATCTGTTTATCCACACTGGACCACTATAAATCCAGTATATCCGGCAATTACACTAACCAAACCCACCAATTCAGACTTGACTCCGACATACGCAACTTATGTGATACCCCGGTCGAGACGTCACTCTCACCTTTCCCCGAGCCCGAGCCCGTTGAAACAGCTCGTTTAATAGACCTCCTGTTAGATGACTGCCTACAGAACAGCTCCAACAACAATAACAACAGAAAATAACAAAACCACAGCCACCAACTCATCGCCAAACACGTCGAAACATTTCGTTTCTTGGTCTCACATTTTAGCAGCCCCATCAAGTGTATGTTGTTGTAAAATAAAGAGGTTTACCCGGAATGTTGCGGAAGTGTCACTCCTTGGCCGGATATAGTTCCGGGTCTTCCGGTATACAGAACGACGAGCTTTTGGGCTTTAGTCGCCTCTTATGACCGGTATATCTTGCTGTGCGAAAATTAATGAGTTCTTCACCCCGCAGGGCTAAGATAAAACAATGGACTAGATCTCTCAAGACTAACTAGCTGTAACCACAACAACAACATAAACTTGCATTGAAATAACTTCATAATATTCGACAGCATTGTGCTGTTATCAAACCAATAGACGAAACCAGCTGGGAATTGGAAAGTCAAAAATGGATTTTTAACTCATTTCCTTTGGAAGGGCGTCTCTTTGGGCTTTAATTTTTCAACTAATGTAGTATAAAACCAATTTGTTGCCCCAACTAAACTGTAATCGAAGGAGAACGGGCATCCCAAGGAGATATTCGCAGGAATATTTCACAGAAACTACACCAAAAAGGTTGCAAACCTTCTTATGGCAACCAATAAATAAATTTATTATTAAATTATGGAGGCATACTTCATACATATTTATAGTATTATCAATTATTTACACATCTATCATTTTTATTTACTGTTGCATTTAGTCATTATTCAATGAATAATAAAAAAAAAAATATTTATATTAAATCTAAATCCTATTGCAAATAGCAATTGAGGTCAACAACTTTAAATCAACGCGCATTACCTAATAAATTTTAGAATAGTTAAGTATTAATCACTCAGGGTTAATGGCGTCTCGTCTCCTCTCGCCTAACTAGGTTAAGTCGTAGGTACTGATAATAAATACATATTCATTTGATAAGAGTAGCTCTTGGTTAATTCACTGTTTACTTGGAATGAATCGTAAGCAGTGAAAATTAATTGCCCATTGCTGACCTGAGATGAATTTTAAAAGATTTTAAAATATTATTTTCATATACGAGTACATACATATATTAAATATATATTAAAATGTAATGTAGTTATATATTGGAAAAAAACTGAAATTTCTATTTCACTATTGTGACTACCAATGTCCCGCTGCAAAAGGCAGCTGCCAATTGTGCGCTTTCTTATAAGGAATGCGCTCAAAATCCTCAAAGGTTTCCACATTTTCTACAATTTCTACATCCCAATGTAGCAGGTTACAATGATGATATCAATTATTTCTCTTACAGATATACAAATGTACACACTTGCATGCTGACACGTACGCACATAAGGAATTCATACATATATCTATGCATACATATATACACTCATTGTAGTCAAAGAATTCCAAGTTGCAAATCATCTTGTTAATAAAAAAATATACAACTCCTGTACTAGTTCTTGTTTAAATATGTTCATATATGTATATATTTTTCTAGCATTGCCTTTTGCGGCTAAAACAATACACAGTTCAACAAACGTCCATGGAGCAAATAGTAATAGCCTAGTGGCTAACAAAATGTGCAGTAGAGGTTTACTGACTGATGGCCTAAACGAGCACACAATTTGCAGTGCAATGGCTCTGTATTGGTGAACTGGATGTTATTAATTTGGAATGTGGTTTTTCAAGAACTCACAGCTCGTTTCTCTTTTTGCATCTTCAAGTATACATACAGTTTTCATTTATGCATTTGATTTTTGTTTAAAAAAAAAAAAAAAAACCCAACGTCCGTCTTTATAATTTGTTTATTTTTTATTATTTATTTTTGCTTACCAAATCTACAGACAATCCACACATATCCGCCAGCCAGGTGAAGGCTCGACTGCCTTGATAGTTGTCATTATCAATGAATTTCGGTGATTCCAGCATTTTGTTGCCAGATTACTGACACGTCGTCGCCTACGTCGCTTCTTATATAATTTATTTATATTTTAACTATTATTTTTCATTCAATATTTGACCTGTAGAAAAAAAATGCAAGAACCTTTTTTTTAAATAAGCTGATAAGCCGAGTTGTACACATGTATGTGTGCATTGAAAAAATCCTTTTCTTGTCGCCAAACAACATTGCAGGTGATAAGAAATGGAAATCAGCGTACGCAAACACTTTATAACAACTTTCAAGACGCACAAATTAATTTTTTTTTTCAATATTTTTACATGAAAAAATTGCAAACAAGAATTTTTCACGTTTTAACTAGAAAAGAAATTTTACGAATTGTAACTTTTTTGAGTGAAAATTTTCTATTTTTGACTATTAATTTTTAAATTTTTTCATATTTTTTGTTTCAAACACTTTTTACGACTACACATAATTTTCAACAAAGCATTGTTAATTATATATGTACATATATATTTCCATTATTTCATAAAACTTGGTAAGTTGCACAAATTTAGCATTTGTTGATATCTACTTAATATTCACAATAAACCAATCAGATGGCTCGCTTAAGGCCTTGCCACGCTACGAGTGGGTGGGTGTTAAGCGGCGAAATCTAGAACCAACTACAACATTTCCATTCATAAGATATGAATATTATGCATACACATATATATATATATATATATATATATAGATGTATCTATATGTGTGAGAACATATATCGAAGAATTTTAGATATACGCGAATTTTTTTATATGATCAACTTTATTTGGAACGTTTTCACTGAATTCCATTGAGTAGTTTCTATTTTGCTCCGATTTTGCAACACTTTTATAATCACATTCTAAGCATTTAATACAAAATCTAGTAAATATCTTTGTTCAAGAAAAATTTAAATATTCTACAATTTTTCACCTTTACACACTTTATTTCGCTTCCACGGCTCAAAATAAACTAAAATTAACAAAGCCGATGAAGTATATTTGCGGCGAAATTCATACTTGTTAACGAATGACGCAGAAAACAACAACGCGTGACAGTTTTGACAGTTTGTGAATCGCGTTGCCAACTGCAGTTTGCTTATTTTACAATTAGGCTTGATAGGAAAAAAAGAGCGGCCGAAAGAAAATAGTGACACTTCCTTCAATCGGACGATAAAAGGAAACGGAAAAGCCGCGTTCGTAAAACGAAACTATTAGCAAAATTTTCATTTTTCAATAAACAGTAATAAATTAAGAGCGTGTATTCTACTTAGATAAAATTATTAGTGTTGAAATCTGCCGGATAGAATTCGCGTTAAAGATATATTTGTGTTATTTACGAGAGCATGGGCTTTGAAAACAAATAATAGGTAAATATATATAGAAAAATAGTGTAAGAAATAGTTTAGTTTACACTGACCGGCAGATGCGCCTTTCATGGACGCTTTGACTCTTTGTAGCGCCAGATGAACTCCGTCTTATTGCGATCTATAGTAGGCGTCGCATAGGGGTCAACGCCGTTTGCGAAGCACAAAATAGTCTTAATATTGAATTTTGAAGCCTTCTCTACTGATATCATAAAAATCAATTCAAACAAAGCTTTTATTTGCATTTTTTTAAATATAACTATTTATTTTGTAGCTTAGCTGTTGGTATTAACCATATTTAAAAGCTAAAAACATGAAGTGTCTCATAATCTTTAAATAAGGCAGAAAATTAGTATCAACACTATAAGAGCAAATATATATAGAAAAAACTATTTTCTCCAGATATGCAACTACATTTACTTGTTGTTCTTAGTTATCTCAATATAAATTGTTCAAATATTACGTAATTCTGCTGGTTGCCGAGCAAAGCATCACAGACAGCTGTAGTACAGACAATATTTTTAACAATTAATTCAATAAGTTATGGTTTTAATTGTGTGTTTATTTCTGATATACTTTGTTTCAACTATTTTTTTAAGGTTTTTTAAGCTATAATCCTTTAAAGCTAATACATACATAACTTGTTTATTGTACTATCAACATATTGCATTTAAATTATCGGTGCAGAAATAAGATCACTTTTACAAATTGTAAATAACAGTCAGTGTGTGTGTGTGTGTATCTATAAATACATTTATCAAGTTCGAAATTTAGTGCTTACTTTTGCAGTTATGCAATGCTACTGAGTAAATCCGTACGTTTCAAACACGTGGGAGAGTATGGCTTTCGCCACTCTAATATTATACGTTTTTCTTTCAATTTATTACCAGTTTACTTCTTATAAATTACTTAATCTTAATTTTATGTAGCTTTAATTTGAAGCCCAACATTTCGCTCAAAACGCCCGATAGCGCTGAGAGTATGACAACTTTAACGGTGGTAAATAGATATGGATTAGCGCTAAGCCCCGATATTTTGAATGGTGATTCCAATTCCTTGAGTAAATCAGCAGCTAACTTGAGTACGCTATTAGAGACCATGAGTTCATCTTTTTTCTTCGGTTTTTGTTCGATCTGTTGTTAATAAGTGTATAAAAGAAATTTAAGCAATGTTTTATGACACATTAACTAAACGTCGTTCATTATTTACCTGTAAATACAAATTAATTTGTTCGGTAATCAGCACGGATACGCTGCGATATTTGTGATGTATTTTATTGCCCAGCGTCATAAAGCGCACCAAAAATATGCCAATTGTCGTGGACCACACCAGTGCCTCTAAATTTAAGTGTGAGTGCAGGTGTACTGAATCTTTCAACCACTCTACGCTGAGAAAAGCCAACAATAGCAAAGTAACTATGAAAGCAGCTGAGACAATGACATCCACCGAGCGTTGTGGACCACGTTTCTACGGCGAGAAAAACGTTTGATTATTTTGATAATGCAGGAATATCATATATTCTTAGTTTACCTTGAGATATGAACGCACACTGAGCCAAGTTTTGATATTTCGCACCTTATTCAAACGAAAATGTGGCAGATTTGATTTACGTGCGCGACGCGATGATGTGAGATGTGAGAACAGCTTCGCATAAAGGAAACTGTAACATAATTTTTAAAGAATTATAAGTTAAATTTTACCAAAATTTTATAAATCGATTGACCTACCGTTGTTTAAAGGTACGCTCTGCCACAGCGAAAACAATAAAAAGAATTGTCGTGAGGCAGAGACGCTGTAGGAAACTTATTACCAAGACCGTGCGCTCCCATTGCGTATGACCAAAGGCAAAAACAAATATTGTCGAGAAGGAGAATGCTGCTTTTTGCCACAACAACATGGGCACTTCGAGGTAATTGATTTCCGTAGCATTTGCGCTATCAATTGTAACCTAAAAAAACATGAAGCAAATTTGAGTGTTAAGATATATGTATGTACATATATATATATATGCGCCTACCTCACACAAACGACAAAAGGACGGTATGAATGACAGCAAGACGGAGAAGCCCAAACCTATGTAAATATAATCATTTGTCTCCGGCATTGATTCGACACGCTCAATAATGCAGGAGGAGATTTCTAACACGGACATTTGTGCTTTCTTAATTTCGCGTTGCTCCCAAACAGTGCAGCTGACTAGTGGCGTTGAGAAAAAGAAATACAAATATTTGAAATTATTTGCTCAACATCAAAAAATATGCTGCACTCACTGCGATCCGATGTGCCATGCGGATTTAAAATGGTTGTGGGCATAAAATCACCATCGTAGCCATCTTCATCGGAGAATTGATTACTTTTATAGTTATCTGAGTTCTCCAACTCCGAGCTATAGCTGCATTCCTCACCTGCAAGCAGTTAACAAACGCAAATTGTATTCATTTGATCAAAAAATACTTTAGTGTATGGCATTACTATTTGTAGTCACGCCCAGCCACTCGGTGGCCGAAGTGGTACATTCCGTATAATTGGAAGCATTGCCTAAGGAGGCGGGGCTCGATATAGTTTCACCATCATCACCTTCCTCATCGGTATCACCACTACTTACGTCAGCGCCAGTAGCGGCATTGTGTTTCCGACTCGACGGATAAGCATCACAAGCAGAGAGTGGACGAGATTTATCAATCGCCGGCTTAAGACGATAGTACATGCCCGACTTTGGTTGCTGTATTGGAAAAGAAAGATGTATTAAGCACATTTGAAAGACATTTGCAGGCTCATTGACCCACATGCATACAACTTACGTCACCCTCGTAGCTGCTTGTGTCCTCCACACGATCAACAAGATTGCTCGCGTTCAAGCGCAAACGTAATTTATTCTCCTCTGCATGCATCGGCGTCACCACATATGCAACCGGCAATGCTAAATTCATTTCTTCACCACTTGAACTCTTACCATTCAAGCTCTCAAAGCCATCATCTTCGCAAATTTGTCGGCGATTAGCGTCACGTTGCGGTACTTGCGCTGCCAGACGGTCGTTACGGCGCACCGGCTCCACAATAGGCGCTGCTGTATCACCTAAGCAACCACTCACCAACTGCGCATTTTGCTCTGCGCTCACAAGACGATCAGTACGTCTTATGAGATCATCGTAGAATTCTTGTACGCTCGTGTCGATGCGCACTGTTTTATTGCTGGGCGAAGAATTCGCGCTGGAAGTAGTGGTACTGCCATCACAAGCGCCCTCGTTTCCTTGCAACGCTGTTGCGCAGCCGCGTGTTGTATTCGGCGAATTTGTTTCACTTGTCGTTGTGGTGGTAGCTGCCGAAGCGGAGGCGGAACAAGAAGGAGATGACAGTGATTGCGGCGAGGTTTGTTGCTGTTTCTCTTGTGTGCTTGCCACAACCACTCTAGGCTCGCTGCACGTCACAGCATAGTTATGTATGGGCGAGTGCCAGTTGACATTACGTTTCTTATTAGCTAAACTATGACTACTTGTTGGGCTAGGATTATCGGTATTGCAGTCGGTGCTACTGCATTCCGCAGCACTGGTTGTCGACGTTTGCATGGTGGATTTGAGATCAAGCTTCAGTTTGGCTGGGCTGGCGCCACGGCGTATGCCTGACGTCGTGATGGTGGTGTTGTTGAAAGTCTCTGCGCTGGCAATCCGAGCGGTGATTATCTTTGGTGGCACGGGTGGTCGCTTTTTCGACACGCCGAAAGAGTTGGCATCAGCAGCGACATTATTTTGTGCCGTATCCAAAGCAATTGTGGTGGCATTATTGATTTTAGATAACTTTTCGGCATTTGCTTGCATTCTCTGCATGGCACAAAGCAAGCGAGTTTGTTGTGTACTCTGTGGTGGTGCTAGTGAACCTTGCTGCTGCTGCTGTTGCTGTGATTGCTGCGATGGAGATGCTGCATTTGGCTGTTGTTGGGTCGAGGCATCGGTCGACTCTTGACTGCGGACCCTGTTTGGTCAATATAACAAAAATTATTATTTAATAAAACCAAATCAAATTCTAGTATTGAGAGTCATTTAGCTTTGATCTGATAAATTCATACTTTTCGAGGAACCCGAAACGAGCTTTTAGACGGAGAGACGGGTCAGAGAGAGAGAGAGAGGAGTGTTAAACGTTTTAATAGGCATGTCGGGGGAAGTCTATGTGAGTAGAGCTTCAGTCAATTACAGTATCCAAACCTTAATTGTGTATTAGCCCTTACCACACGCCATTATTGAGTGGTCATTGGCATATCAGGAAAACGCCGTCTGGTGGTGGAGAGAGTCAAGTGTGGTGGTGATACTGCGCACTTTACGGAAGCCTTGCAGATGTTTTGCTGGGCTCGGTTGGTGAGTTTAAGACAGGAGCAGCAAAGCCTCATCTCTCGAGGAAACCAGAGATATCTGCCGGATACGCCTTAGTTAACTGGCTTCCTCTGATTTCGGTAGCGGGGGGTACCATTTCGTTTTTAAAGGTCTACTTCGGTTGCAATGGTCAGAAACAGTTTGAGGAGCTGTGTAAGAAGTTCTGTTCCCAAATGTTTTCGGCCGATTAGGCCGATGAAGATGAAAGCTTTAGTCTACCCGATAGCCGCCTTGACCTCCTTTACAACTTGCCAATGATTGAAATAGCTGGCTCCTTCTTTAGGCCCGACGAGGCACGGTCTCCGAATAAAATTTCCATAGGATCATTGCGTTTCATCGACATTGATTTAAAAGTGGCCTAAATCTTAACTATGCAAAAGGAAAGGTTGCAGCATCAAATTATGTTCCCTAAGATCTCCTAACTCGGAGATCGGTTTTGTGTGATGGGTTGCCATCACAATGATCTGCGCTCAGAAGCTCTGAGCGGCATTTGAACTAGGTTTCTTCAACACCAAATGGCAGATGCCGATGAATAGTGAGAAAAATAAACCCGAATCCTCATGCAAGATATAATAAAATACTCAAAACTCACCTCACAAGCTTTTTACGTCTGCGCACACGGTTTTCACCATTCTGTCGTGGCAGCTTGCCACCCTGACTGGCATTCGAACAGCGTCTGTGCTTCGATTTAGCGCCACTTAGTATATTTGTAGCAACAATTTGCGAATGTATAAAGCTGAGCAGCAAACCCAGCACCATAGGTATGATCAGGTCCGAGAGGGTGACCACATGCTGTTGAAAGTGAAAGAAACCATAAATAAACATTTATCTGAATTCGATATTTTATTTCAACTCCACCATCACCTGCTGCACATACCTCTTCCTCTGCGCCCTTACTCGCCTCAACCGCAGCTTCTGCGGTAACATTGCCTCGCGTCGAATTGCTCAACGGTACCTGGAGGGTTGGCATGATCGAACCATCGCCCCCACTGACACCGCCATCGAAGCGATGTACATTGAATGTGTACACAGCCCAAGTGATCATTTGTGTGATGTACATAAGCAGGAGCAAAGCGAACGTGTTCGGCGATGTCTGTTTGACCCACCATCGTGCAAAAACCGGCAAGAAGAAATAACGTAAAACTGCCAAACGTATCACAGTTAATAGAGATTGTTTCGGCTTGGCCTTGGGGAAGGTGGAACCTGGCGTTGGATGAGAGTGTGCGATAAATATATTATTCATTGATGGAGGAATTTTCAATTTGCTCAACAAACCTCGAACTAAATCCACATCAATAAGATCTGTTTTAAGTTTTGCATTCTTAAGCGTAACACTGTTAAAACCATCGAGTATCTTTTGTTCAACTGTTTTCTCCCATTGCTGCTTGTCGTAGGTGCCAATCTTTTTTTGATACCTGAAAGAAAAGGAGGAAAAACCAAAAGAATGAGTATATGGGTATTTTCTTGCCAAAGAACAGAGTGAAACACTCCAGGGTAGAGGTGACTTTACTTGGGAAGCTCCGAGGACAATTTTTAACCGAAGATTTCCTTTTGCTCAGTCTTTTCATATCACTTTCTGCATTGTAATCGGATCTGGTTTACTAGGGTCTCTTCTCTGAGAATAGAAATCGCCACGGAGGAGAGTTATTGGCTTTATATGGGATAGCTTAAAAACAGGTTTTGTTACCAGAATACTAGAAAATTGCATTTCAGGGGACTCAAGACAGGTGTTTGCCAACTAATGAACAAAATAAATTTAAAAAGCATTTAAGGACCTGCAAGCTCTCCTCTTGTAAAACCTAGTTTAGTGACTTTGTCGAATCTCTGTACAGGCCGACGGGCCGGGATGCCTTTCTGCACTGTATCTTTCTGTGGATAAAACCAAACTACAAGTCGAAACGCCGCCGGTGTAAACTGCCAAAAACTAGTGCGACACTTGATGGCTCTAGAGAAGAGAACCAATCGATTGTCAGGAAATCTAAATTCCCAAAAACCCATCGCGCCTGTCAGAAGAAGCATACAAACTAAGGATGCTCATCAACCTGTCTGACAATACGGGTTATATGGAAAACAGAGTAAAGTGTTACTGCTATTAAAACCTGGAAAACCCGGCAGGAAAAAAGGAAATCACAATTGCACCCAGAGGATTTGCTTCCTCCTATCTGATGTCAGTATCAGACCAGAATGGCTTCGCAAAGTACTGAAAACAATCAGCTCACTACAAGCCAAAAACCCACAGATAACTCATGAGATCAACCATTCGCACAAAGGAGTACCGGCTAGAATTGAACTTAACTTCAATTGGTTAAGCATCGATTCCGTTTAGGGGGGACATTTGCTGATCTGATGTCGGTAAAGCTAAGACCAACTCCTTATGAGAAATTTATTCTGTGGATATAAGCAGTGTTAACCCAAATACTGTACTGAGCGGGAAGTAGACTTGAATGATCAAAGTGTCCATAACTCTCTCTTGTCAAGTTGCACACGAACAGTGTGGTTTCTCCTCCCGCTAGCTTCTCCATTTGGGAGTTGCCTCGTTCGGGGCGTCCATTCAGTATACTCCACATTTTAACGCGATATGTGATAATCTGACTGCCAGAGTATAAAGCGATTGGTTTACAGGGTCCGGGTTTCGGAGTGTAACCAACTTCAGATCGCTCGCGCAGCTGACGTATCCGCGTGTGTTGTTTACGCAATAGCGTGATTGCATTATTCGAAAGCTCAAACACCTTAAAGTGAATAAAGTTTTGGTTTATCGTACCGTAACTCGTTACAATGATACTGGTAGCATCGTAAAACGTTATGGAGGTGGTCATCAAAAGAAAGCAACGTCACGTGAGATGGTTCAAAAAGTGAAGATGCGATTTGAACGAAATCTCCAATCAAAAAAGCGAAAAAACTGAAAATATCGGAGCGTAGCATATGCCGTATACTGAAAAATTATCTTAAGATTAAGTTCGAGAAGATTCAAAGGGTGCTTTATCCCATACTCAAGCAGCAACAAATCAGACTTGAAAGAGCGAAGGAGTTGCTGCGCTTAGTCGAAAGTAGTCACTTTCCGAAAAGTGTGTTTTCTGAAAATTTTCATAGTTGAGCAATCGGTAAACGCTCAAAACGATAGGATTTACTTGACCGACAGTTCATACAAGAATTGAGTCATCGATTGAGCAGCAGGAGGCAGCACCCGCCACTCTCTCTCTCTCTCACTGCAGATAGGCGCTCTCCAATCGTTTCATCGAGCCTGGCATAAAACCTTGGACGTTTCATCAGGACTCGGCACTGTCTCATAAAGCTCGGGAGAACCAAAAATGGCTGAAAAATCAAGTTCCGAACTTCACGACGTCCAGGCAATTGCTCTCGAATTCACCAGATGCTAATCTGATTGATTATTCTCTTTGGGCCATCTTGGAGAGTAAGGTCCGAACTAAAAGATAAACCAGTCTTGAGGCGCTGAAGAAAGCCGTTGTTTGCGATTGGACCAAAATGCCTGCAAGCCATATTCGGGCAGCTTGCATTTCATTATTGGACCGCCTCAAGGCCATAGTTAACGCAAAAGGTGGTCATATCGAGAAAAAGAAATTTTTTTACGAATTTTGTATTATTTTCACAAATTTTGTATTTTCAAATGATTAAAAGTAATTTTCCAAACAGAAATTATGGACTTTTTAATTGGTTACACTTTTATTGACGGACCCTGAATATCCGTACATCTGAGCAGCCATTAATAGCAAACGTTTTTTTCTCGAAGTCTCTGCAAAGCTTTGTGAGAGCGAAGTTTATATTAATTATGAACATCGATTACACTTCTGAACGGGTTTCTTGTGGGAAGAAATTGTTAAAACAGGAATTGGAGTTGGTGTAATCAAGCTTTTATGGAATTTCAGAGAGAAAATCGATAATAAAGCTTTCGTTATGAGGGCAGCAGCAGACCACTGATGTCGATCGTGCTCGAGCTTTTTCGAGTGTCGCTCACCAGACGTTGATGTCGTAGAATAGAATAAATTTAATTACCGCTTTTATATCTAGACCCCATCGTCTCTTGTCAATGCCCGTTTTGCTAGCGTAATGCTCTTGACCTTTCTGCCATGTTAGGCGGCAATGGAGTTTACTGTGTAAGATTATTCTGAGATTTTTGACTTCGGTAGAGAGAGTAATCTTCATTGGTTCATTGGTAAAAAATTTATCATTTCGGTTTTAGGATGGGTTAAGATCCAGTCAATGTATAAGGCGTTTCGGATTAGACCACTAATGAGTTAACGCTGTTTTCCTGTTGCTCTTAAAACTCCGCCTTGTGGGGTAACTCTTGTGGTAGCTCTGCTACAATACTACATGTGCGAAGATGATTCTGCTTCTTAAAAGAGATTTCACGAGCTTCAATTTAAACTGTTCGAGATTAGTTTCTTGAAGGGCTTCAATTATAGCCTGCAGGTAAAAGATTATTGTCGAAGAAAATTCCAAGCGTGGTTTTCTTCATCACAAAAAACTCTTTCGCTTCGAGAACATTTTTAGCTCATTTGAAGCAGACCTTCGGCAACACTTACGGTTTTGTGCCTCAGGGTATAGTTAGACAGAATTCTCTTGACTCAATTGGCGGTGCAGCTACTCCCTCTGTTTAATGTTGCTTTTCCTTTTGGGGTTTGTCGAGATGTTTTGTATCACTGTGCCCAGCGGCAGGTATCCGAGAATGAATTTTCATTCTTCTTCGGTGACTAGTAATATAGAAAGGGTAATAGAAATCATCTACTTGACTGTGACCGTTAAAATTCACAATTTTCTTTGTATCCTTGGGACCGAAGAATCTGATCATTCTTAGAGAGCAACAAGTCACGTCGGTAGGCAAATATAAAAATATAAACTGATTTCTCTTTCAAGGCGTCAATCGTCTCGGATTTATCAAGCATCTTCAAATAACCCCACAAGAAATAATCCAGCGACGTTCAATCGCAATCTGGGAGGCTACGCCACAGGTCCACTACGCGAGATAATGCGTTCACCAAAAGTTTCCTGCAATAAATTAATCTTGAAGAAGCCGAAGGGCGTCCACATCAACATCTGTCAATTAAGACTTGAAAAAGTCGTCAATTATTATGGATGGTGTCGAAAGCCAATTTTGAGGTTGTAACGGCGTCTCAACAAATGATTGTGTATTATCATAACATTAAAACTTTCTTTCACAAGATCGATTTTGTAAGCCCACAAAGCACGATCCTACCGTAAAATGGATGGAGACACCTCTAATCGTTGGGCGATAGCGGATGGACTCATACGGGGTTTCTTTGATACTCTGCTCCACAGTCTTTGCACAACCACAACCGCCTCTTTTAAAACACCCAAGCAAGGCATGGAAATCACTCTCTCAACCAAATAATTTGGGAGGCGGAAACACCGTGGACAGATGGAGGAAACCTATCACAACACTCTACGAAAGCAAAGCGGTTATTGGCAAAAGGTCGGACCTAAAACCGTTCACTGGATTTATACAGCGGTAGTCAGACCCATTCTATTCCACGGGGTCCTTGTTTGGTGGCCAGCAATCGAAAAAAAACCACACTCAGTAGCAGACCAGATAGAGTTCAACGTTCGGCAGATATTCTCATTGCTGGAACCTTGCCGTCGACTCTATTATAAGCGCTGAAAACTACTTTTAATTTTCTTCCCCTTGATTTGTACGGCAAACTTCAAGAGGGCTGTAATTCTGTTAGATTGGAGGCGGCTCAGCCTTGGAGATATCGCGCTTAAAGGCACGTCCGGAGATTGTATTTCGCGTAGTTTCCAGAGGAGTTAGACTATGCTATCTCCATTTAGTGTTTTGGCAATCTCTTGTCCACAAGAATACAAACCAGGAATAAATGGATAAATACAAATGTTCCTAATCAGAGTGGCGAATGGAACAGCAAACACCAGATGGCTTGGCAAAGGAACCTGCAGCGTTATCGAGTCACTTTGGCCTGTGCTGGAAGCTAAAAGATTAAGGATCTTATTCGCCTAGAACGGATCGCCATGAATTCAACAACAGGCATGCTAACAGAACACCATTTAAAGGCACTTCTCAGTGAGGAAATGGATACTTTTCGAATTAGTTTTGTCATAGTTGCACGGATGGAGAAGAGTAAGACTCTGTCGAGTACAAACTCTGTCACTGTTCAGCCCTAAGCCACACGCGTCATAAGTACCGAGGACATCACGCCATTGGCTGCTTGGCAGACGTAGCAAAAGCTGGTGTAACAACTGTCAAAAAGACGTGAAAATCACACGTCTAAAAAAAACACCCTTTATTATAATTACATATGCATGCTTACTGAGTACTTACCATGCAACAATTTCATCCAATTTCATAGTAGTGTTTACATAAAATTTTGTTCAAAATATTTCGCCCGAAAAAATCTGGAAATTCTGGAAAAGGGAAAAATTTTATCAAAAGCGATTAGAAAAGGTAAACAGTTTTAAGTCTAACTGACAGCACAAAAATGAGTGAAGAACACATGTATTTATGTATGTATAAACGTATTTAATATTATATTTATAATATTAGCAACTTCATTAAGAATACGACTCAACGAAAGATTGATAGCGGCGCCGTTTATCCAGTGCTTAGCGTCACGATATTTACATTAATATTTATTTTTATTTCAAACAAAGCAAAAAGATAACAGAAGAGAGAGAAAAGAGAGTTAAAAACACTCTTTAGGATTTGTTTTTGCTACTGAATTGATGCAGCTTCATTAAATACAAATTAACTCCTACCAAACTAGTGTGTAACTAGTGCAAATGTAATAGAAAAGGAAAAAAGGTATGATTTAAGAAAATTGTGTTGCCCACAACTAATCCTACAAATATGAACTAGTTCTTTACTGAACAGTTTGTAACTACAATAGTTCAAAAGCAGTTAGAAGGCGCTGTAATTCATTATTTTTGCTATAGAAGGCTTTATTCATCTGTATCTCGCGTTCTATGACTGCGATTGGTGGACGCCTGCTCAGATTAAGGCGAAAACGTAAGTCAAGCAGCTGAAAAAGTGATTAGTGTTTATGGCCTTGATCCTATAACCGCCAATCAAGTACAATTTCGGGTTTGACGATTAACTTTCTGTAATTCTGATGTAAAAGAATGCTTCACGATGTAGAAAGCCAATAATCGAAAATGTCGATAAAATAATGGAGCTTAACATCGCCGAAACAACAGTTTGGAACCACTTGAAAAAGGCCCGATATGAGGATGTCACATGGATCTTAAAAAGAAATCGACTCATGTCTGAAGCGGTTGGTGATTGGTGATAAAAAGTGGTTCTCCTTCTTCTTTATTGGCGTTGACACCGATTACGCGATTATAGCCGAATCAATCTCAGCGCGCCATTTCCCTCTTCTCTACGCTGTCTGGCGCCAGTTTTTAATACCAAGCCTAGCCAGGTCACTCTCCACCTGATCCTTCCAATAGAGTGGAGGCTTTCCTCTTCCTCTGCTTCCACCAGCGGATACTGCATCAAATACTTTCAAAGCTGGAGTGCTTTCATCCATTCGGACGACTTGACCTAGCCAGCGTAGCCGCTGTCTCTTCATTAGCTGAACTCAATATTATCGTATTGTACACCTCATCGTCACCAAAGGACCATAAATCGTTCGCAAAACTTTTCTCTCGAAGTATCCTAGAGCCGACTCATCAGATGTTGATATCGTCCACGCTTCTGCGCCATATAGTAAGACCGGTATGATAAGCGACTTGTAGAGTTTGATTTTCGTTCGGCGAGAGAGAAATCTACTCTTCAATTGCTTACTTAGTCCAAAATAACACCTGTTGGCAACAGTGATACTGCGTTCGATTTCAAGGTTGACGTTATTATTGGTGTTAATGCGGGCACCTAGATAGACGAAATTATCTACGAGTCGCGAGGGGGATGACTGTTTGTTTGTTGACAGGAGATATTTAGTCTTGCCCTTATTCACTATCAGACCTACTAGTTTCGCTTCTTTATCAAGTCTGGAGAAAGCAGAACTCACGGCGCGGTTGTTGAGGCCAATAATTTCGATATCATCGGCGTATGCCAGCAGCTCTTGTAGAAGATTGTATCTTCTGTATTCAGCTCTGAAGCTTGTAATATTTTCTCTCGCAATAAGTGCGAAAAGTCACACGATAAAGAGTCACGTTGTCTGAAACCTCTTTTAGTATCAAACGGATTGGAGAGGTCCTTTCTCACACGATAAAGAGTCACGTTGTCTGAAACCTCTTTTAGTATCAAACGGATTGGAGAGGTCCTTTCCGATCCTGACGGAGCTTTTAGTGCTGCTTAAGGTCAGTTTACTTATGAAAAAAATACAAATGGTAGTGGTCTAAGGATAATATTGTGCCAGCTTAAACGATCTTAAAAGAGTATGGACGACCAGGAAGGCTTTGTTGTTGAGATTTTTAAGGAATTCATCCCAAGGATCATCACTATGAGCTGCTCTTTTATGGCCAAAATCTTAAATCGGGCTTGAACTGACAGCATTTGGACAAAAAACCAACGAGAGTGATTCTTCAGAAGCTCTGAGATCTTGGTTGGCCTGTTGCTGTCTATGGAGAATCGTTTGGCTGGTGCATAATTGGCCTCAAGAGAAACCTGTGAAATCGTTTGTATAAATTTCTTGCCAGAAGAAAGAAGGGTTTCTGTAAGTGAGGTATAATGACGATATATTCAAAATGTCAAAAATTTATCAAGCAACTAACTCAAACTGTAGCTATGCAGCTTATTTTTTATGATTCTTGGGAAGGTTCTGGAAGTGGACCAAATTTCCATTTGTTTGAAATTCAGTACATAGGTGGCTTTTTACTTACTCTTCCTTCGGGACCAGCGCTAGAGACCGACTTACGGTTCGGTTAGCCTGAAACTCTTCACAGAGGCGGGTTTTGGGTTTTTACTTCAATCGGCGGGAAGACTACTCTTCCCTCTTCTCTTTACTTCCAATTTTTTTATTAAGGGAATTGGATCGATCTTTTTGAAAAAATATGTATATTCGTGGTTCATTTTATCTCGAACCAAGCTCGTTTTGTTCGAAATATTAATTATACTTCCTTCAAGTGTAGGGGAACACCGACAGATTCAGAAAAAATTAGTAGATATTGGTATAAGCTTGAGCTCAAGATTTCGTTCGAACATTTTCGAGCTACGCGAGCATTTGAGCATTTTGCTCGAAGACTTTCAACCTTGATCTCGAGCAATTCGAGCTTTTTCGAACATTTTGAATAAAAAAATTTTACTTTTTTCCCAGAACTTTCTTCTATAATTTGAATTTATTTATGCGAAGTGTAAGACTCATTGAAATACTAAGGAAATTTTCCAAAAAAAAATTTAAATTTAAAAATTTTCAAACTATTATTCGAACAGTTGAGCAACGAACGAGTATCAACCGAGTATCGCGCTGCTCAAAGTGCTCGGCTGATGGTTTTTTATGAGGAGCTTTCTTGTTCCTTTCTTGTAAATTAATATTTGACTTAGATGATGCTTAGTTAGCCGTTTTTTAATCGTTTTTTGCAATACGAATTAGAATAAAAATTGGGCAAACTGGTTTATTGCTGTCCAGTTTGCGAGTCTCGTCTTGTCTCGTCTAATACGAATTAGAATAAAAATTGGGCAAACTGGTTTATTGCTGTCCAGTTTGCGACTAGTTTGGAAGTGGTGCCAAAGTTTCGTTTTTTATAATGCGAACAACTATTATTATCAGCTGCTTTGCAACAAAAATGCGAACTAGATCTATAATAACTAGTTTGGAACTAGTTCAAAAATGTTTTTTTTATTTTTTTTTATTTTACAAGCAAGAACATTACTCCAAGTACAAGTCGCACCAGTTCAGCACTAACTTTTGCTAAAAAATAGTACTATATACCTGCTATTAGCGGATATTATTTAACGGCATTTAACTATTTTACGTTTTTTTCTTAAGCATTTAAACTTAAGCCGAGAAATTAGTTGTAACTAATAAATAAAGGGCGTTATTAGCACTTGTTGTTGTAAATAATAACAACGAATTTTACACTCACTTAAATGCATACATAAATATTTCAAAAATCTATTGAACAGTTTAAATTTTCCTTTTGAATTTACTACAATAAAAAATAGAGAATTAATACGAGTATTTCTGTGGGGTTCCCACTCAAGCAAGTTTATTTTCTCATTAATTAATAATTTTGCCAAAAAATAAAAATAAAAAAGAAAAACATAAACATTATTATTATTTTATCAATGAATTCAGTATTTGTAAGCATACACAACATGCAAACATATGTACGAGTATATACATACAAATAAACGGTGATATGAGGAAATGGCGCACAAAAGTGGATTTCAATCCTCGATGACGAGCTTATATCGCACAGTCATGGAAAAAAAATTAAAAAAAATTTCAGGCCAAAAAACGATAAAAAAATATTCCAAAAAAACCTACTAAACTAAATGAACTACATATGTACTTATGTATATATGTTCTTCTTCTTTAATAATTATTTTTATCAATTATTATTAATTCTAATAGTTTTATTGTGTCATTCAGTTAGAGAATTTCATGCATTTTTTTGTATGTATGTATGTATGTATGTATGTATGTATGTATGTATGTATGTATGAACATTTTTGTCAAATAACAGAAAAAATACGAAAATATTTACACAGCTTTGTTCGATTATATTTCTATATGCTTATACATACATACATACATATGTAAGTAGCTATGAACAAGATATGCATAGATACGAGGGGCTTAACAAAAGTTCGATCCGTAGGTGACTTTCAAATTTTATTTGCTAAATCTAAAAATATCAAATCCTTTGCAAATACTTTATAAGTCTTCCTTTCAAGTTTTAGAACGATCGGCTAAAATGGAGACGAGAAAACGCAAAATAGCTGAGGATAGGTCCGACGAATTTCCACCCCCAACGGAAACAAAAAATCTCCATTTGATTCTCTTCGTGTTTCGGCGTAATTAACAGCCAATAAGAAATATTCAGTGAATGCAAATTGCATATGGAACGATTGCACTGTCTTTAAAGACTATTTCTTAGCGGTTCCGCAGATTCCAGAGCGGACTTTTTTTTTGATATTTATACATCGATCTAGTCCTGTCTGTATTATTGTAGAGAGCGAGCCTCGAGAAGGTCTACCAAAATTTTCCACTGATAACATTATTGTAACTCTGGTGAAGTCCAAAATTGACGAAGATTTGCAATGATCGAAGATGAATTGGACTTGAATGTCATCGTCATATCGCGAATATCAAGTAATCATCTGGGATACACGAAGTAATCTGCTCGATGGGCACTACGAGTTTTAAATGAGACCCAAAAAGAGACTCAAGGGCATTTTGCTCAATTTTTCCTAAACAAATTCGAAAAAATCATTCCTTGTGACGTATCTTGGTTCTACAAGT